TGGGGCTGCTCCCTGAAGGTGGCAGCACCCTGGACAGGCACGAGGCCGAGGGTTTGCAGTTCGGGGCCGCTGAGCCCATGGGCAGCTCAGACCCATTTTTCGACTTTTTTTCTGTCCCCGTTCCTGCTGCTCCAGTTTTAGGAACCGTGCAGTCCCCTGCTTCAGGTCCCAGCGGGGTTTCTGCTTAAAAGCAGCCTGATCCTCCCAGCAACACCCCCTTTGCTGCTTTAACCCCCGCCTTGCGACTCCGGGGAAGGCTGAGGGGCAGCAGTGGGAGGGGGTCAACCCCCAAAACAGCATCACAGGGCAAGAGGAGGATGAGAGCAGCTTGGCTGGTTGTTCAGACCCCCCCTACTGCTGAAATCCTCTCCTGTGACCACCCAGCCCTTTGCAAAAGATTCACAGGGAAGCCACACACCAACCCCCCTGCAACACCCCCCGAGGAATAAGTTAAAGCCTGGACACTGGTGCAAAGGGAGGGTGGCATTGGGGTTTCCATCCCCAGCTGCCCTCACCAGCCTGACCCCACGAGGAGCTTGTTCAGACCCCCCCTACTGCTGAAATCCTCTCCTGTGACCACCCAGCCCTTTGCAAAAGATTCACAGGGAAGCCACACACCAACCCCCCTGCAACACCCCCCGAGGAATAAGTTAAAGCCTGGACACTGGTGCAAAGGGAGGGTGGCATTGGGGTTTCCATCCCCAGCTGCCCTCACCAGCCTGACCCCACGAGGAGCTGGGGAGCCTTCACAGGGCCAAGTGTGCCCCCAGGGCTGGGGGGGAAGGGGAAAGCAAGGGAGAGTGCTGGGAAAGAGAAGGGGAAGCTTTTTTCCAAGGGTGTTGCTAAGGTCCAGCTGAAACCAGTACAAGAAACCAACCTCCGTTTTCTTTATTTTGTGGTTTTTTTCAGACTGTTAAAAAGAAAAAAAAATTTTAAAAAGAGAAAATGACAAAAAAAAAAATCCTGGTACATGAAATAAAGATTTTTTTTTTTTTTATAATTTGGTCCTCGTTTATGTGGATTTATTGGGGAGGATTTATTGTCCTGCTGTGCCAGAGGAGTACCTGGAAACCCAGAAAGAGAGTCAACTATTGCAGACAGCTTTGTGCTCTTCAGCAGACGGTCTTGCTTCAACTTGTCTTCTCAAGCCAGTCTTTGTGACACAAGGAGGAAGGAGGAGGTAAGAGGAGATGGGTTTCCACGACTGGTTTTGAAGTAAGTACAGGTAAACTCAAGTCACACATGATGGCTCTCCCTGCTGCCCTCCAAAAGATCTGCTCCAGCCCCTGTCTAGCCTCCAGCATCAACCCTCCCACCCCATTCCTCCCAGGGTGATGTAACCACAAGGGCTGATGCCCCAAATCCCACCCAACGACAGCGGCTCTCGTGGCAGCAAGCCAAGAACCACCAGCGAGCTGAGAATTTGCACAGTCTTGAGAGCTCAAAAAGGAAAGAGAAAAGAAAGTGGGCCTAACCTTGTTTTGGGGTTTTGCTCATCCCCTCATGGGATTTCTGGCAATTTCCTCAGTAGCCGGGTTGGCAGTGGCTGCCTGGTGGAAATGCTCAGCATTGGAGCCTAGAGCTCTTACACTGGAGTTACTTACACCTGGAGCTGCAGGCCCAAAAGTGGGTGAGATGGCAGCAGCACCGGGAGGTGAGAACTCCGCAGAGGGGACTGGGCTGCCAGCATGTCCCTCTCACCTCCCACCCCAACAC